ATATTAGCGTGGGGTACAGCAATTTCAGCGTTTTTAAGCGACATGGAAGTTTTACAGAGAATTGTTCTAAAAACTGTCCGAAAACCAAGATTATAATCTACACAACGAAACAAAATCATTTGATATCAAGCAACTTTATTTATTACATACTATCTATCAGCTATTATTACAAAGTTGTCAGTGAGCGCGGTAAAATCATGCATTGTCATGATACTTGATATAAATTACGAGCAAAAACTGTCCCTAACTCTCATACTTTCTCTATTTGGCACGAAAATTATATGAACATGTACCCAATACACATAATTTTAAAAATAAAGAATCAAAATGGATACGCTCAATAGGAAGACAACATATTATTGAATTCCTATCAAATATTTCTTGAGAACTATCATCCTCTACATACAGGGTGCATCACAACTTATCCGACAAATTTTAACCCCCCACATACTGTTACGAAAGAAGTTGATTTCTCCAAAAAAAAAAAAAAATTAATAAAAGTCCTACAGAAAGTTATAAACCTGAGTTTCAATAAAAAATTGAAAAAGTAGTATCTGTATTTTGCCTTCATCGTCGTGATAGAACACGCATTAATAATTTATTGTAGCAAATGTAGTACCAAACAACTGACGAAAACAAATTACCAGGTATTTTTTGTTTTTTCATACTGATACGAACGTGTAAATGAGGTTTAATCTGTATCGTGAGTGATCTGAATGAAGAACGGTCGATTAATGTGAAGTTAAATAAGAAAGTATTTTGCGAGTTTATGTTTTTAGTTGTTTATTACTAAAAATGTCACATGTGTACACTAATGAAGAGTTAGTGGACATTTTTTAGCGTACGGAGAAGCAGGGCAAAATTCGCGAGCAGCTTCTCGTTTGTATGCACACCGATTTCCGAATAGCCACATACCACATCACGAAACATTTAGTTCAATTGTTTTACGTGCACGTGCCAGTGGAGGTTAGCGCACCAGACGTGGAGTAAATGGGGCTACGATTCGCCCACACTGCGTTATAAATGCCGAAAACAAAATTTTGGATATTGTGGAAGAAAATCCGGGAATAAGCACAAGGCAGTTAGCCCAACAGGTCCCAGAAGTGTCACATGCAACAGCGTGGCGCATATTGAATGAGGCCCAACTATACCCTCATCACTTCCAGAGAGTCTAGACGTTGCTTCCTACAGACTACCCCTAAAAGTAAGATTTTTGTCAGTGGTTGTTGCAAGAAAATGATCGAAAAACCCATTTTACAGCTGATATTTTGGCGACCGTTGAAGCTATTTTAACTCGTAGTGGGATAACCAATCTTCATAATACACACGTTTGGTCCTTTGAGAATCCTCACGCAGTGGTCCAGACACACTTCCAACATCGTTTTCCTTTAAACGTGTGAGCAGGTATTGCCGATGAATGTCTAATTGGACCGTTCGTATTACCAGATCGGAAGGATGGTCACCAGTATTTGGAATTTCTTCGGAATGATTTGCCGGAAGATGTGCCATTGGTGGTCCGAGCACGGATGTGGCTTCTGGACGATGGGGCACCTCCGCATTTTCGTTTAGAAGTTCGTGATTCCTTGAATCAGGTATACCAGATACGCTGGATCGGAAGAGGTGGATCAATTGCATGGCCTCCACGGTCTCCCGATATAAATCCTCTGGACTTCTTTTTATGGGGATACTTGGAAAATGAGGTATACCGTACTCCAGTTCAGAATACTGAATAATTGCGTGACCGAATCACAGTGGCTGCCGATAATTTGAGCCTTCAGGCACAGCAGAAATGAGGTATATTTGAATTAGTGCACCGAAATTGGATTACACGCGCACAAGCTTGCATTGCAGTCAATGGAACAATTTTGAAAAGTTTTTATAAGTAAGTGAACTGTTAAACTGTATTATTTTATTATCTCGATTTCTGTAGGACCTTTATTACAATTTTTTTGAGAAATCAGCTTCTTTGGGGTCGTCTGTGAATTGAAAAACACGTTGGAAATATTTTTTACGGTCTGAGCGCGGGGATGGGTCCGGACTTCCAGGACACCTTCCTAGATCCGCAATTAAAATTAGTCGATCTAAAAAAAATCATGAATTTAAGCATTTAGTAAAGGAAACTTAATTATATGTGGATTGTAAATCTACGAGGTTGTTGCGTTTCGAAAGAATGTGAGATCTTACCATTACTAGGGACTTCTGGTATCAGGTCAGGATTGTTGTCATCAGATATCGTATCGGTGTACAGTGGAGGAACATGCGGTGTTAAAGGACTCTCCTCCAACTTTGGACTTCGGACTCTTGGGTGCCTAACTGGACTATCCACCTAGACGAAATATATTCTATAAGTCATCTAGCTTTCAGCCTCGTGGTTTTACTAGAGGAACGTGTAGTTCATACCACTAATAAAGCAACCAAAGTTTCCAAGTATGTAAGTTGGTTATCAGTTTACTAATACCATCAAATATACAAAACTTAATCGGAAGTTTACAGCATTAACTTAAATCAACGTTTTAGTAACATCTTTAGGGATGCAAAGTGGCGGATAATAGCTAGAGAGCAAAATGATACGTTTGAATCGCTTGATAGTCAAAGGCTGAGTGGGTCGATGGCAGGCCGCGCTATTGCTTGACGATGACGGTGAAGATTGTACTACTTGCCGCGACAGTTGATTACAAAATCGACGATGAGTTCGCGGGTGAAACCATGCTCATAACCTTCCTCGGGGTAACAAGGCGAAATCTAAGACAGATGATTCCTTTATGTAAATAAGCAATTCAGAATCCGGCATGGCCACACGAAGGTTATCAAGCCATAAATTGAAACAAAAACTATTAAAATCGCCCTCACAATCTAGCTTATTAGCTAGAATGCAGATATAAACCCAGCGATGCAGTTCCTCGAGTAGCACGATCTTTATTAGGCCTTCGGACATAAGACATGCGTTAACATTGCTTTCAGGAATCCCCAAATAGTATCAGTGTTGCAAAACATCGCGATTGAATCATGATTTTTTTCATGTTCATTAATTTATTTTGATTTTTTCTTAAATATGGCAATAATGAAAAATGAAATAACATATTTCCATTAATTTTCTCTATTCCCAAAAAATATTTGTTGTCTGTGTTTATATTAAGAAAGTCTCCTCAGCGACATACAAAAAAATTGGGTTGATATGTCATGCACGTGCCGGGGATTTGCTCTCGGTACAAAATAATTCGTTCGTTTTTAAATGAACGGTTAATGCGAGACGGAACATTTCTCAACTTATATAATAGTTAATGAATATATTCTCAAAATTTCACAAGCTTTAAATTGGTGGAAATTCCAACAAAATGTGGATGCTGTTCAAAAAGTACTGAACACCATTAAATAACTGTTATCTACTAAAGATTCTTCAGCATCTGTCGAAATAGTGTTTTTGACATTCGGTCTAATACATTTGAAACTTAGAAATCGTTTGGCAACCTCAAAAGCCGCTAAATTAGTTTTCCTGTATTAAAAGTATTAAAATTGACAAATTTTCTGTTTTTGTTTCTTGTATATTGTAATACTAATTATTTTTATTATATTATTTTATTTCCTCGAACAAGACGGAGAATTTGTCTTTACACTATTTCAATATTTTGCAGTGGACGGCAATGATTTTGTTTATTTCGTGTTTTTGCGTGATGCTTTTATACCAACCCTGAATTTCCTGACAGCAAAGATGATGGCACCAATCGCAGCTGCAACTATAAAAGTAGACCCAGCTGCTAGCAAAATGTAGAGCCATGGTCCCGTTGGTGATCTTACTGATTCACTGGTTGGTTCTGTCGAACGACGTTGTTCTCGGAGACCTAAGAAATAATATGTTAAACTTGAAAAAACAGCGAGAAAATAATATACATTAAAAAAAAATTAAATTAATTTTTGAGACCTAGAAAACCGTAAAACTTTAAAACGCTGTCTGCCATGTTTAAGAAAAATTACCAACCGCCAATGTGTCAATTTTCGGCAAATTTGTGACTTATACTTTTACGAATCCATTATTGTTTTTTTTCAATAAAACGAGAAAACGATAACTTTTTACGTTGACTAGGAGTTTTTTTTAACATATTTAACGTGTGACATACAGATGTCGTTTCCTTGCTTACAATTTATATGACATCACATCATAGCCGATTGCGTTTTCACCGTTTCAAATTAAAAATAAAAAATATTTTTTTTTAAATTGGACTTAAATGCGCTTTCAAAAATTAAAATCGACATACTTCGTTTTCCTAAGCCAAAGACTGTAAGAAATACTCATTTATTCTGTGAAATTAAATATGAATCAAGAAGCCTATTGCGTGTTATCGCAGCATTCCTGTTTCAAATGCTTAATCTATATAGCAGCGTTGAGCGAAAAAATCTATGAGAGGATGTTTTGATGAACAAAAAAACACACACTTCACCTCTTGTCAAAGAACAAAACGCGTAAGAATATTTAACTGCTTATTATGGGAGCCACCCCTTGCGCCCATGTCCTAGTCACCTAAATAAGGGATGTCGATATCACAAATCATTTTGTGAAGAGAGACTTTGTTATTGGAATTAATTTTAGCATCGGCGTAATGAAGGATCGAGTTTTAGAAATATAATTTATTCTGTGTTGACTGCTCTTCACGCTTCCCAGCAATTCTGCTATTGTTTGGGCTGGGCTCAAGTTTGGAACTTTCCCATGGTATTAGAGTATCTATACGAACCTTTGAAACGGTGTGCGAGGATTATTGACACAATAAAAGAAATTTGTGAAGGTATCCTATGACTTTTTTCTGATTGGTACACAGGTACAACACTATAAATATATAAGTCGCATGTTGTATAACACTCTATCCCTATTGATAACAATCTGAAACAATATCTTACCTGGAGCTGGCAACGTTCTAAATACAATCGGCTGGGCAGTATTCGAGGCGCCTTTGGAATTCATTGAGTAAATAGTAGCCGAGTAGTCCTGAGAGGCTTCCAGGTTCGATATGTTGAAATCTGGCGAGGTGGATGACGAGAAGTTCCCAATTGGGGTTTCGCCTGAGTTCAGCATAAGTACGAATTTTTGACGCAGACCTAAAATCCCCAAAATCAATTAGTCATTAATATGTGTATCAAGCATGACGTTAAATTACTAACTGCTGATGGATTCTCAAATGCATCTCCTCCATCAGCGGAAAATTCAGTCCTACCCATGCCACTGTTCCTTTGTTCTTTCAAGATTGATGAACCATCTGGCAACGTTCAAGTGAAAACCTATCTCTCAAGTGGTTGCATACTAACCATACTCGCTGTGGCGGATGAGGTCGTCCGAAAAATCGTATTCAGGTTACTGTCCTCGCATGGTGGTATCGTGGCATGTGCCCATGAGACGCCTTGGCGCAACTGGAAAGCGATTGGGGATACCTGACCAATCCGGTTTGTTTCACTTGAATGCCGCCAGATGGGGGCATCAAGCAGCTTAAACGAACAAAGGAGCGGTGGCGTAGATACGAATGAATTCAGTCGAACCAGAAACTCGGTTGGCAACTTTTGCTGTGGTCTTATTAGTTAGGACAACTCCACCGAATGGAAGAGATGCCGGTGCACACTTTTCCTGTGTCCCAAGTAGTTGTTTACTAAACATACTCCTAGTCGCTGTTGCGGACACAGATGCGGCGGCAAGTCGCCCGTGTCGTTATTCTGTCAATGAGGTCCTTCCCTTCGTTGACATCGGTCGTCGACTTTGAAATAAGCGCTTTCAGCAATGGTTCCTTTTAAGGCCTATCAAGAAATTGACGGTTGACCTCGCTCTGGTAGAAAGATGTCGTTAGGAACACCAAAGAGTTACAAAAAAATTAACACTTTGTTTTTAGTATAAGCGCAAATTCGGGTATATTGTACCTGTTTTTAAACTGTATCTCAATGTTTACTGAATTGTGGCCTTAAAAGGAAGTAACCCATTATAAGGCGATTTCATATATTTATTTATTTATGCATAATTACCCAACAGACTAATCCAGTTACAGAGCAATATAATGGTAACTTAACTAATAGTGCGCATATAAGTACCATGTAAGACGAACATAAAAATAATTAGCTACTGTAATAGTCCCTGAAGTTTCACAATATTTTACTGGCACAATCAAAATTAATGTCAGAACTGTCTGTTGTAATTATAATGATTGTGTATAGAATATAGTCGTGAATAAAATAATACGTTGGAGAAGTTCTGGTGCATCCACTCTGTCGTGCAAAGGCTTGTCAGGCCAGCAATGGAACTTCATAATTGTAGGGACTCTAAGTTAAACGTCGGAGTACAACGAATTGATTAACCTCCCTTTCTGGAAATGCGCCATCAGTATTTAAAAAAAGTTCTTTGTACAGTTTCTAAGATACTTATATGATATGCATAGGGAAAGGGTTCCAGCTCCAGTTACGCATTATGAAACCTAGAATCCGTGTCGCATCGGAAGTAACTACATGGAGAGAAAAGTCTGACTTGTGGGAAAATGTTACATTAAGTTCTTTAGTTTGTGTTGTTCTTTCAAAGGCTGCATTATTTATGAAATAGTCAAAGATAATCAGGTTCATTTTGCGTCTATATGAGCAAACTTCACACTTGGAAATGTGCAAGAAGAAAAAGTTGTCACATCGATGTGTGATAGTATCTAGATCCTCCTGAAGGAAAATACAGTTCTCTAAATTTCTAATTTAGCTCGGTTTATTTTTTTATTTTATAAAGGTTACTGACAGCTTATTTGGTAAAAATTAGTAATATAGCTTTCGTTCGTCCGACCACAGGCAGTCAAACATGGACAGCTGTTTCGTGCTATTTGGCAACTCGTCAGAGTGGTCTAGGCTTAGTCTCAGGACAACGAACAAGAGCATCGCAACTATCTCCTATTCAGGATATAATGTTTCAGGATATCAGGTTTATCGAAATAAGACAGCACAAAGTGTCACCTATTACCAGAATAGCAGTGGTCGATTCTGGTATCATGACACTTTGTGCTGTCTTATTTCGATAACTTTTTTGATATCGTCCATTAAAATTATTCTTTAAACATTTTAGTTTTTCTATAGTCAAGAAATGTTCGTTGAATATTTTCTATGAGAATATGTTGTTGTAAGGCTATAATACAACTTAAAACAAATATTGATTAGCTTTGCAAAAATGCTTTACAAGTTACACAATGAAACCAAGTGCTACGCCATACTCCGTTTGTTTAATTTATCTAGTAAGTGGATCATTCTCAACAAAAGGCGACTATTCGTGTCTCTGATGGATAATCAAGTTATCTTTCATACCACCACGCATAAACAGCAAGAAAAGGGAATAGTTGACCCCACTGAATATTAGCAGATTATCATCACTTCACTCTTTATTTTTTGCTTCCTCTTTTTGTATTCACATTGGGTGAGATCTCACCTCCGTGAGCTGTCCCTTAATCCCTATTCAGAGATACTTCTGTCTGTTACAGAAAAAAAATCAACGATAAATCAATTACACGATCATTACCGAGTCACAGTATGATGCTGTAAGATTATGTCGAAAAAAATATATCCATACCACCTGGAAGGTTAGATTTTACGATAAAGTTTTGTCTCCGCATAGTTTTCTCATCCCCGTTAGTGATGAAAACATATAATTCCGTTACCCTCGGCACCACCTAGTGTTCGCGTCTGAAACTATGAACTAACAGCCATGTTTTATTCAGTCTGGTTGAAACTACTGATGAATATTGTTGTTATTTAGGCCCATATCGTCAGTCGTTCCTACAATTATTGTAAGGCGTGTTTTTGGCCTCCTTGATTGTCATTTTTTTCTACTTCTCCGTGTCAGAACTCGATTTTGAGGTTATGTCACAAACATCTATTTGCATCAAATTATGCTTGCTTTTTAGTTATATCATGTTTTATCAGCCTGAAATTTCCTACAATTTAAAAAGAAAACATATCTTCACAATAGGAGAGCGCTGACGCTGACACGGGACAAGTGTAATCTAGCAATTTTTGAAGGAGAGAAAGAAGTATGACAATCAAGGAGGCATAAACGCGCCCTAGAATTGTAGGGACGACTGACGATACGGGCCTTAGTGAATTTGCAGTTCGAAGGTAAGATAATATATTTGTTCAAGGTACATTTTCACCCCCGTTTACATATTTTTTTGATAAAAGTAACTAATTTCTGTTTACTGTTGTTTATAAGAATTTACAATAAGTAAAGTACTTCTCCACACGACATGCTTTGTTTCCATATCCTCAAAATATTGCCTGATATGATGCGATATCTGATAATTTCTCATCTCCATGAACGTCACCTCCGTAATTACTGCTGTTCACTGAGGTGAAGATGTCCTAACGGAGGTGATTAAATTTCAAAAATTGTGTTTTAATTTACAGAATCGTTCACTGTGATGTCTCCTGTAAGACCAAAGGATGGAAGCTCAGCTGAAAACGGAAAATTACGAGAAGCCATTAAAGGTGATCCAGTTAGATACGAAGTAAAAAAGAAGGAAAGTGAAAGATACCATGCAAGGAAAGCAGCTGGTAAAATAGATGGTGTTGCTCAAATGAGTGAAAGGGAGGAAAGGGTAATCCAAAGAAAATGGAAGTAGAGAAGTAAAAGATGCTTTGAAAAGAAGAGAGCAGAAGAAAGATTAAAGTTTTTTAGCTCAAGAAACTCCTCCATCATCTCCACGTCAGCAACTACTTCAAGACATACCTGACGAAATTGAAAATCAGGATCTTACACCGTGTACTTCCAAGCAATCCACTACAAGTTGGAAGTCAAATATCTGGAAGGAAAACATTTGTCTTTCCAGAACGAGATGACATTGCTTATATAGATGTATCAGATATACAAATTGCATTAGGTTGCCCAGACTTCAATGAGAAAACCAATGAAGACGTTTTTTCGGATAGTCTTGATTACTCAAATCTGTATGAGGACCCAATTATTATTATTGCTTTTATTTCCTGAGATGTGCTGGAATCGCATTATTTATTTTTATTTTCTATGAATATATTTTACTTTTCTTGAGCCAGTTGAGTTGAAGCCACTAATAGATAAGGGTATTGTGAAACTAAAGGCAGTTCTAGAAACGAGCTGTGCATGATTATTTCAGCGTCGTCTACAATTTAGATTGATGAATACCAGTATACTAATAAATAATATTAATTTATCCAAACCTCTGCTGTTACACGATGCCTTGATCTATTTGCATTTTTAACTGTTGTCAGTCACCTCCTGGAGTTATATCTCACCTCAGTGAAAATCATAGATATCACCTCCGTGAAAACCTGTTTCAATTTTTTTTCAAATTTGAAAGAAAATAAGTTCAGTGATCTCGGAAATATAGTTTGTCAAAAACTAACACTACAAATATAAAAATATGAAAATCGTAATTGTCTACCAACTATATTTTTAATAGAACTTCTAGTGGAATAGTATGGATATTATAAGAATGACCCAAGTAAGGGAAAAACAACTGTTTATTAGGTCCACCCACCTTACCTTATAGCTTGTATGCAATTTCCATACATCAAAGACATGGCATGATACAAGAGAATTCTTGAAACAGAAAATATCAGAGGTAACGATAGTGTCAACGTGTCACAGGAAAGCACCAATTAGAGCCGGAGATAGTTCTGAGTACCCTGATGATATAGAAACACAACAAAAACGCAAAGGAAAGGAAAGGCAGGGAAATCAACGCACGGTAATGCACTCTATGTAAATTACGGCGCATTTTCTCTAGTAGACGTCGCCCGACGGCGCCCGCTAAGTGAAAATCACCACCTCTTTTCGCACTTCAAAGCGGTTTTTACCACGGCAGTTTTATTAGCAAGTGAGGACCTAGCGAGCCCTGCTTTCCGTCATAGCTCTGTCAACATAGGCAGGAGTATTTTAGTTGCATTCATGTTACACACAACCTCAGATATGCTCACCTTACTTCAGTTTCCTCAGTTTTTTTTTTATCAAAACTCAGTTTAAATAAAGTGAAATTTCTTTCTTTCCTCTTACACCCACTGCATTACCAAAAGATCAAATATAGAAACTTCAATTACAGTTCTTTACAGTATAGCTAAAAATACAAAATGTCAATTTTTAGGCATGTTCTGATCAAGATTATCTCAGTAGCTTTGTGAACACTGAAAAGAGCCAGACGTTCCCTGATTAGATGTTTGAAATTTGATGACAATGTGGATGATTGAGATGTTCCGTCGACTATAAGATTTTTTGACACACGACGGTTTGACTGATCTTGATAACTAACTATTCGTCATTTATTTGTCTGGGCGGTCCGTAGGACCTTTGCCCATTAGTCACTGTCTGATGTACGTTAGTCGAATCTGTCAGTCCTGGTTGCCCAGAAACCAGACAAAGTCGAGGAAAAAGAGAAAAGGAAAGAGAAGAAAAAAGGAGAAGAGCAAAGAAAAAGATATGCTTAGTTTAAGAGGAAACACCTAGGCTTTTTGACTTGGTACACGGATTAATTTTGAGGTGAACTAAACAAATTTTTGATTCGGTTTTCGGTTTAGAGTGTAATTTTGAGTTTACTAAAGATTCACGCTAACTTTTGATTACAGTGCGAGCCGTGGCCTTGAATGTTTACGAACTTGCTCCACTGTGTAGTCCACTGAGTCACGCAACAGAGGGTTGCTGTGCGATTGCGCTTGACTATAACGTCGCTGCGCCTGAAGCTTGACATAGTCCCTCAAGTAAGGAATGTCAAGGTCTCTGTGTAGTGTCTCATTTGAGACATACCATTGCAAATTGTCCGCAAAGTTCTGCTTTGCAGTACTTGAAGACTTTGCATGTGTGTCTTGGCAAAAAAACACCAAGCCGCACATGCATAAGTAATGGCTGGTCTAATAATCATTTTATATAGTCGAACTTTGTTTATCAAACCCAATTTGGAGGATCTACATAACAAAGGATATAGTTGCCGAAACGCAATTTGGAATTTTGTTTTTATGGATGCTGTATGTTTCTGCCAGGTCATGCCTTTATCAAGGGTGACACCGAGATACTTGGCAGAATTTGTCCATGGTACACGATTTCCGTCTACAGAAACCTCTGCTGGGGGGCCGCGACGTTTTTTGGTACAATAAATAGCCTGCGTTTTCGAATGATGAATTTTTATCAGCCACCGTTCTGCCCACTCTAGAACTTCGTCCACCGCATTCTGCAACCCATCGTGGACCAGATCACCAGTACACGACTGGGCGACAAGTGCAGTGTCGTCAGCATAGAGGTAGACTTCACAGTTGCTGGGGGAACGGACATCATGGATGAAAAGCGAATAAAGAATTGGTCCTAGGACCGAACCCTGAGGAACACCGGCCCGTACTGGCCGTGTTGTTGACAAAACATTGTTAATTTTGATCCGAAACTTCCTTCCTTCAAGAAAGGATTTCAGTAATTTTAGAAGCCAAAAAGGAAAACCCTTTTGGATTAGTTTATAGAGGAGGCCCGCGTGCCACACCTTGTCAAAGGCTTTTGAGACATCCAAAAGCAAGATGCCAGTACTCATGCTAACCCTCTGGTTACATGCTCCACCAGCCTGACTGCCTGTAGCTCGGTGCTATGCTCGGACCGAAAACCGAATTGGACGTCAGGAATCACATGGTGATTTGACGGAAAATTCTCAAGGTGACGATAAATCACCTTTTCGGCGAGCTTAGAAGGAGCTGACAGCAGACTTATGGGACGGTAATCCTGAGGAAATATCGAACCCACCTTCTTTGGAATCATGATGACCTCAGTAGTCTTCCACCCAGCAGGGAAGTACTGGATTTTGAGCGTCGCATTGATTATTGTCACCAAGTATGTCAGGGCTTTCGGCGAGAGCAGCTTCAACGCCTTGTTGGTGATTTGATCCTCCCCAGGTGCTTTACGCACCTTGAGGTCTTTAATATGACTTAGTAACTCCGCTGGTGTGCAATGTGGAAACTCGGAGGGTTCCGCTAATGTGCTATGTGGAGCCTCAGACGAATCTTCTGAAGAAGAGCCATCTGAAGAGGATTCAGTGCCTCCGCTGACGCTGTTGGCCCTAAAATATCGCCTGACGGATCGTACGATGTGCTGTTCCTCGTCGAGGTCATTATCGAGATCATAGTTGGGAGAGAACTGTTTTTCCATGGCATCAGCGAAAACCTCGACCTTATCCTCCGTTCTGAAGACTATGCCTTCAGGACCGTGGATGTGAGGGAGTTATTCTCGCTTTCCGTTTCTGAGTGACTTTGCGACCCTCCAGAGAGGAATACTTGAATCAAGCATTCCCGCCAGAAAGTCGCTCCATTGCTCGTTGCGGAGTTCGTGCAGTGCGTTTCTCACTTCATGGACAAGATTTGTAGCCCTACGAATGTCATCAGGATGACAAGACCTTTTTGCCTGCTTAATAGCGGCTCTTTTGTCAGAGATTTTCTGACGAATGTCCGCAGGCAATAAAGGTCTGCCGTGTCGTTGTACAGGAAATACAGCTGCACGCTGTAGAGCTGCTTCAATGAAACTTTTCCACTCCGCTTGAGCGGCATCTATTCCAGACTCATCATCTATAATCGGGATATCCAGAAACTCTCTAAGGAGCAACTTGTATAGGTCCCAATCAGTGCGTTTCCTTGGAGGAGTTGCCTCCTCAGAAGTTTGCTCATTGCCCACATCCATGACAACAGGTAGATGGTCACTAGAGATATCATACAAGATTCGAGAAGAGATACTGTATCTACAGTTTTTAGATATCGCAAAATCGATGACATCTGGTGCCTGAAGTTGATTGAATGGATGATGTGTCGGCTCTTCAGTGCTATGTATAAGGTACCCATTTCGCATCACATGGTTGTACAATCGAACCCCACTAGTGGAATTCAACCTAGAATTCGATGCTCGATGTTTGCAGTTGAAGTCCCATGCCACAATAAGCGGACCCGAGTAGTCCAAAAGGACCTCCAGATCCGCCTCTTGTAGCCTGGCACCACACCTGACATACACCGATGTGACCTTCAACGAGACACCTCCCGCCATATTGACCACCACAGAAGCTGCTTCGATGCTATGCATCTCCGCATTAGTGCTTCTATAATAGTCTATACCGCGTTTAATCAACACTGATAAACCGCCGCCTCGACCATTCAATCTGTCACCTCGGATAACATCATAATTCGGGAGAGCTAAACGATCTCCCGGATTAAGCAACGTTTCCTGCAGCAAGGCCACATCTATACCTTCATCCAAAAGAGCTTGATGAAATTCCCGTTTTTTGGGAATATCCCTCATGCCCAAACAATTTTAGAAAAGAATTTTGATGAATGCAGGCTGTCTACTATTGTACCTAGACATTTACAGGAAATATCGCCTGCAACGCTTGGGTAGCGCTAATCAGTGGGCCTATTATTTGCTGTAAGGACCTTAGCGCGGTTGCCAGGTCCACATTTTGCGTGCTCAAGGGAGGTTGGGCAGAGGGGGCAGGCAAGGTTGCCTCCCGAGCTGTGTCCGCGTATAATATATTGCGCCTTTGTGCTATAACTTGCAAGTTCCTCCTTGGAGTGAACTTGCAAGTCCGGCTATTTGCGGGATGTCCCTCTCCACAGTTCGCGCACTTGCGTTCTTCCTCTTCTGTGAGGGGGCACAAATGCGTCATATGGTCCTTTGCACATTTTAAGCATTTGGGCGGTGCAGTGCAATATGACTGCACATGCCCATACTTTTGGCAGCGGTGACACTGCCCAATGAGTCTGGAGTTCTGAACCTCAACTCGAATGGCCAGTCCCAGCAGTTCGTGTTCGTTGAACACTTGCTGAGACTTTTCAGTCTTGGGCAGTATCACGACCACCAAAGAGGGCTATATCCCCTCTGCTCCAGTTGTCCCTTAATCTCAGTATCCGAAGAGTTGACGGGAACTCCTCGAACCACCGCATGGATGTTCCGTTCCGAAGGGAGAGGAAAAGTGTGATGAGGCACTTCTTCCTCTCGGAATA